AGTTTCTTCATGCACCTACAACTGTTCATTTTACTGCTGCAAAACGCATAGTGAGATATGTCAAAGGAACTTTGAGCGTTGGCCTAGATTTCAGCAAATCATCCTCTAATCTGGTCAGTGCCTTTTCTGACTCTGACTGGGCAGGATGCCTGGATGACAGGCGCTCCACTGGTGGTTTTGCAATCTTTTTTGGACCAAACTTGATTTCTTGGTGTGCTCGAAAACAAGCTACTGTTTCTAGATCCAGCACAGAAGCAGAATATAAAGCACTTGCAAATGCTACAGCTGAAATTATATGGGTTCAATCCATGCTGAAAGAACTGGGTATAAAGAACACACCAGCTCCATGTCTGTGGTGTTACAATGGTCAGGGATGCACACAGCCTGAAAACAAAACAAAAAAGAAATGAAAAAAAGACCTCGCCACAATGGTCAACTCCTCCCAGTAGCAACATATGAACCACCATCAAAGACAACACCCGGAAAACATAAAAGGTCTCCAAAAGCGACGCCTTCAAGAAAAAAACAGTGCACAAGCGGCGTCGTCGCCCGATCCAAGATCATAGGTTTTCACCCTAGAGAAAGACCGAGTTCTCAAAACAATACCTTCAACAAGGCAATTGCCAGGCAAAACCACTGAAGGCCAGACCTTAGGTTTTCACCCTGGAAGTCACGACTCGGCACTCGAGGGGTACCACCAAAAAATGAAATCCTCCAGTGTTGTCGCCCCCACTTGACACTGCTACTACTGAAAGTTATCAAACACCTGGCTGACTCCATCGCCTTCAAGGTCCCCTCCGCCTTACTGATCCTCCGATCTCAACCATCAAGACTTTCTCCGCCGTTGTCCGTGCCATGGAAATCGAGATGCCGACATGTCCCATGGTGTAAACAAATAGCAGAGCTTCACGCCACGCCCTCCTTGAGCCACATAGGCTCATATGGACGCAAACGACCAGATACTGTCTGATCCAGATATCTTTGGGCAAGATCTCCGGCATTAGTTCCGGAACACATCGACGGCCAGATCGAGGGGGACCGATCAAGCAGAACATTGTCATGATGCGATAAGAGCACAAGGCCGCCACCACACCGCTGCCTCCACCAAGCCGACGCCATCGACATCATGGCGCAGGGCACTGACCCACGCTGTTCACAGCCCATGGCTCTAGGCGCTAGATCTGACGGAAATGGCAGCTGCCGGCCCGCCATCATGCCATGCCGGCCCGCCCCGCACTCCAATGTCGCGCTCGAGTGGCAGCAGTACGACGCGCAAACGAGGAGGCAGGCCATCGGCCTGACCTGTCGGAACCGAGCAGTCGCCCAAAACATCGATGCCGCCGCCATCGTCAAGGGAGACTCCGCCCTGCCCGAGGACACCCCCACAACACGAGCAAGGTCCCCACCGCCGCCGTCGGCCGCAGCGGCTTCATCCTGCAGCTTCCTCCGACATCGGCGGAGAGGAGTGATTTTTTTGGTGGCGGCAGCCAGCAGTTTGGCCGATTAATCAGTTAATTGGCCGATTAATCTTTTAATCGACTACTTGGTGAGTCTCTGAGCATTAATCGACTGTTTTTTGAACAATGCATATTCTTTTCAGCTTCAACTTTATCCTTTATCAACTGCATATTTCTCCTATGTTAAAAAATGCATATTTTCTCCTCCTGAAGGGCATTTTTGTCATTGACAAGTGCATCGGTATCAACTACATCATTTTTTTGCGGGTGAAATAGCATTGTATTACTCAATCACAAGGTCCTTACATTCATTCGATGCTATTTCCACAACTTCAACTGGACCAGCTCCTAACCAAGTCATGGTTCTACCTTGGGTTCTAGCAAAACTAGCTAAACTATCACTAGCTTTATTTTGAGTTCCAGAAATATGGGAAATACAAGTTTTCCTTAAACCCAATAAGTACTTAATCTCTATAACAATTGAAGAGTAAACCGAGCGATCCGTTCCCGAGCTTGATATGAGAGTGACCGCTTCAAGAGAATCCAACTCCAACGCTATCGGCACGTCACATCGCTGTATCGCCAGGGACAAGCCTTCCATACACGCGCACAGCTCCGCCTCGAGGGGGTCCCTGCACGAGTACAACACCCTGCAAGCCGAGTAGTTGATCGCACCCATATGATCACGCAGGATCATACCCGCCCCAGCTTCACCTGACGCAACAAAAGAGCCATCAGTGTTCAACTTGCACCACCCCGGATCCGGCTTCGTCCATTTTCGTTTCTCCTGATCTCCAGCACTACTCCCCCTCTTCCATGGGATTCGCCATTCAACATATGATTTTCCCTTGGTCGGATCAGCTTGTGGGTTTTGCTTGATACCAATCAAAGACTCCAAGTAACTTTGCAGGAAACGTACCGAGACTTCCATCGGCGGGGCAGGCTTAGCATGAGTGAGCTCATTCCGGACAAACCAACTTCTCCAAAAAAATCATTAGTATCATTGCGTGTTCAAGTTCAGTAAGAGGACTCATGACGTGTAGCAGCCATTCCTTACCATTATTCAGTATAGATGTAATGTCTGGAAGCCTCCATACCTTGGCCATAGCCACAAACAGATCACGTTTGAATTGACACCAAACGAACGGATGGAAATTATCCTCCTCTTCTGTCCCACATACCGGGCATAAACTCGTAGTCTCCAGCCCAATACAATGTTTCCTCTGCCAAGTAGGGAGTGCATCAATTGCCATGCGCCATCCAAAGTGCTTGACAGTTGGAGGGGCATCACACTTCCAGATGAAATCCCAGCATGCACGGCTTCCTGAAGGCGACGCGCTGGACGCAGTCGCAGTACCTCGATGATCCTCGTCAAAGGCCAACTCGTATGCTGATTTGACAAAAAAAATACCATGCCGACCAGGACCCCATGCAATCACATCTCCCTCCAATCTGGGTGAGGCGCGAATCTTCAATATTTCATGCACATCTGCAGCCACAAAGTAGTCCCGAAGGAGCTCAATATTCCACGACCCATTAGGGTTCAGAAAACCAGAGACGAACCGAATGCGGCATCGCCCTTGCGGAGAGATCGATTTATAAGAGAAGGGTCTCGGGATCCAACTATCTTGCCAAACCCTTATGCTTGCACCGTCTCCAACTCTCCACAGCAGCCCTTTTTTCAACAGTTCCAGACCATGACATATAACTTGCCATGAAGATGATCCGTTTTCAGCAAAAACCGTGTCTTCCAACTTGCCATCAGGATAATAACATGCTTTTAAAACCCTAGCACAAAGGCTAGCAAGCTTGGTTAGGAGCCTCCACGCCTGCCTAGCCAACAGAGCTTGATTAAACAGCCTGAAATCACGAAAGCCAATACCCCCCGTCCTTAGGCTGCATGAGATAGTCCCAATTCTTCCACTATGCCTTCCTCTTGCCCTTTGCCGACCCCCAATAAAAATTCCGCACCATGTGCGTGAGATCATCACAAACCAAAAAGGGTAGCTTGAAGACACCCATAATGTAAGTTGGGAGAGCCTGTGCATCTGACTTAATCAGCACTTCTCTCCCCGGTTGCGCCAAAAGGCCGTCTCCCCACTGTATCAATCGTTTGGTTAATCGAGTCTGTAAATTCTGAAAACGTCCCTTAGACATCCGACCCTCCGGTGTCGGCAGGCCCAAGTACTTTTCCTCAAAATGCATGTTAGTGATCTGTACTACTGACCTTACTTCCTCCTGCAGCATTATTGTCGACTTTTACATGGTTTATGTACTCTTGGCAAAATGTTTATGTTTCTAATGTTATTGTTAATATAGCCCCATTAAATCATACTCCCTCCATCCTAAAATAAGTGTCTCAACTTTATACTAGCTCTAGCATAAATTTGTACTAAGCTCAAGACACTTATTTTGGGACGGAGGGAGTATGAGATTAGAAAAGTATAGAAATCTGGATAAAAGAGTGTTTTACCATATATGAGAAACCTTACTTTGACCATTGTTTTCACAATTCATGTGTCTTTTCGTATTATTGCGAGTCGAAAACTCAATTATGCAGATTCACGTGTTTTCACAATCCTCTGTTTTGCATGTGTCATCCTATATTATTTTTGCATTTTTAGATCCTATGAATCAAATAGGCCCTAAGATTAGAAAACTATAGGAATTTGCGTGAAAAAGTGTCTGCTAGCCCGTGAAAAACAAATGAATTGTACAAAGAGGTTTGATTGGATGAAAAGAAAATTCATCCAAAAATAAAGTGCAAGTGAAGCATAAGAAAAACTTCCTAAGGATACCATTACTATGAATCAAATGACCAACACGCGAAAAATATCATAAGGATTAAAATCCTATGAAATTCTTTTGAATCAAAGGAGCCAGGCATGTCCTGGATTGGAATCCAGCAACCTCGATCGTGGCTCTGAAGTACGCAGTCTGTACTGCTGGACGGACTCAAGGTAACAGGATGTAAAACATGTTCTGCCTAACCAGTAACCAAGCAGTGTTCTGGACATTGCACAGTTCTCTCGGCACATGGAGAGCACCCATCGTCCTGCAGTGGAAAGAAAAGCTTACATACCATACCATGCCATGCCACTGGGCTGGCCTCCACTGAGATCTACTAAAAGAAAGACCAAAAGTGCAACAGCGTGGAGTGGGAGAGGGGACATATGGGCTAGGGAAAAATGATGGAGGCATGGCTACGCGCGGTGCTCATTTCGAGACAATTATGCTGTGCTGGTCCGTCGCACTCGCACGGAAGAAAAGGCCCGGAGCGCAGAGACGGCCAAATGAGTTGCTCATAATTCCGTCTCGCTGCTGGTTCGTTTAGCGCCATTCTCCCAGGTATCTACTTATCCGTCTATCTAGTAAATCTATGGATGCGTGTATTTATAGCCAGCAGGAGGCGGGCGGCAGGAAGAAGACAACCGCGCCAATGCCGGTGTGCGCCTCACAAGAGTATTAAAGCTTCTTCTTCTTCTTCTTCTTCTGATCCTACCTGGCTAGGCTGCTACGAAACTCAGGGCCGCGTCCGCGTCAATGGCTTCTTGCTGCTGCCCAATCATTGCCTGGTTCGTCTCTTTCCTCCTCGTCTTCCCCGTCCTCGTCTCCTCCGCGACGGCGGGCAATGGCAGCACATTCGGGGAGGAGCAGCTCGGGCTCCGGCGGATGAAGGCCCGGCTCGCCAGGGTCAGGGAAGCCTCTGTCAAGACGATCCAGGCACGTACTACTCTACGACACACGTTCTGCTCCTTCGTTCGTCACATGGTACGTGTGATTTGTCCCGTTTCTTGGCAGGGACTGATTTTGGTAATCTTGCAGAGCCCCGACGGCGACGTCATAGACTGCGTGCCCTCTCACCTGCAGCCCGCGTTCGATCATCCCAGGCTGAGAGGCCAGAAACCAGAGGTACGTGCAGTGTTGTTCTGATTGACTGACTGCCCGACTGCAATGTGCATCGTGTTCTCGCGTCTGTGTTTGAGATGATCAGTAATGGAATGGTTGGTGCAGGACGAACCTGCGGCGCGGCCAGGGAATGCCGGCGCCGTGGCAGACGACGAGGAGGAGGTCTTGCCGCAGACGTGGAGGAGCTCCGGCGAGTGGTGCCCCAAGGGGACGATACCGGTTAGGCGGGCGACGGAGGGCGACCTGCTCAGGGCCAGCTCCGTCCGGAGGTTCGGGATGAAGCCCCGGAGTGCCGCGGCACGGCGGGACTCCACCAGCAACGGCCATGAGGTCAGTCAGTCGCCGGCCAGCATGATGACCACTTCCTCTATTTCAGTCTCTGTTTAGTACAGTACTATCAGTCAGTCATTTGGACACGGATGCAGACACAAGGATACGGCCACAGTACTAGTGTACCGGATACTGAATGTCACTGTGGTCCGTATACAGCACGCGGTGGGGTACGTGAGCGGCGGGCAGTTCTACGGCGCCAAGGCGAGCCTGAACGTGTGGCCGGCGCACGTGTCGTCGCCGGCGGAGTTCAGCCTGTCCCAGATCTGGGTCATCTCCGGCTCCTTCGGCAACGACCTCAACACCATCGAGGCCGGCTGGCAGGTCAGCCCTGAGCTGTACGGGGACAACAGCCCCAGGTTCTTCACCTACTGGACCGTAAGCTCTCTAAACGATTGTCGTCTGAAAGTTCAATCATCTTCAAGTGTTCGTCCATGAAAATTCAAGAAAAAGAAGGTTAAATTCTTGTGCGAAATGCATGTCTGCGTATGCGACGCAGAACGACGCGTACCAGGAGACGGGGTGCTACAACCTGCACTGCGCGGGGTTCGTGCAGACCAACGGCCGGGTGGTGATCGGCGCCGCCATCACGCCGGTGTCGGCCTACGGCGGCCGGCAGTTCGACATCACGCTCATGATCTGGAAGGACCCCAAGAAGGGCAACTGGTGGCTGCAGCTGGGCCCGTCGGGCGCGCTCGTGGGCTACTGGCCGTCCTCCCTCTTCACCCACCTGGGCGCGCGCGGCCGCGGCGGCGCCGACATGGTGCAGTTCGGCGGCGAGGCGGTCAACACGCGGCCGTCCGGGTCGCACACGCCCACGCAGATGGGCAGCGGCCGGTTCCCCGGCGAAGGGTACGGCCGCGCGGCCTACTTCCGGAACGTGCAGGTCGTGGACTGGGACAACAACCTCATCCCGGCGGCCGGGCTACGGCTCCTCGCCGACCACCCGGGGTGCTACGACATCGCCGGCGGCCAGGGCGGCGCGTGGGGCAGCTACTTCTACTACGGCGGGCCTGGCAGGAACGTCCGGTGCCCCTAGAACCGATACTGCTTACTCAGGCCACAGATGCTAATTCCAGCAAAATTAATATACCACAAAAGTCTTTAGTTATAATTTCTTTGCATGCATGCTTGTTTATGATCATAGATAGAGTTTTTTTGCACTCGAATTTATTTGAAAGGAGGGACATTGACTCGCATTGCACGCACCAACGGAATATGGTGATTACCAAAGTTCACACTACCTGGCCGCATAGTACTTCTTAAGACCATCTTCCATAGATGATGAGTGAAGTGCATCATAGGTCCTCGAACTATTTTAGAGATGTCATGTAGCCCCTCAAACTATGAAAATCGTCATCCAGGTCCTCAAACTGCAATATGAGTGTCATCCTGGTCCTTAAATTATTTCAAAGATGTCATGTAGGTCCTTGAACTATTTCTGAGGTGTCACATATATACCCATTTATTACACTTCAAGAATTTTGAAGGACGTAGATGACACTTTTCATAGTTTAAGGACCTACATGATACCTTCGAAATAGTTCGAGGACTTAAGATGCACTTCACTCTTGTTTAATTTACACCATTAAAATGTGGTTTTTACATCTCTGAAGATGTTTCGACTCCAATAGATAATATATATTTGATGATGTAAAACTACTACTCCAACAGATAATGTATTTGAATATGTAAACCAGTTCAACTACTACAACATTTTAAACATAGCAAGCTCATTTAAAGCAAACATAGTTCAAACTAAAACATAATTAAACATAGTTCTAATTGAAACATAATTAAACATAGTTTAAACTACTACATCCATCAAACTACTACTACTCCAACTAGTCCCAACTCCAACTATTACTAGTTCAAACAACTACTTCAACTACATCGTTGAAATAAAACTTCTCATCGTTGCTCTTGGACATCCGGTGCCCCTAGCTAGGATGGAACCAATACTGTTTACTCAGGCCACATATGCTAATTCCAGCGAATTAATACTATACCACAAAAGTCTTTAATTATAATTTCTTTGCATGCATGCTTGTTATGATAATACTCCAAGATATAGGGTTTTTTTTGCACTCGAATTTAATTGAAAGGGCGAACGTTGACTCGCATTGTACCTGGCACCAACGGAATTTGGTGATCACAAGCATGACAGGGAGGTAATTCATGGAGGATCAAGACCAAAGTTCGTAGTCCTTATCTCCTTGGCCGCATAGTACTTGAGGATAGGCCATGAAGAGATTCAGAGTAGAATTTTAGTTCGCTATTTGCTCTCAAGGGTGGGATATTACAACTTTTTTTAGATATTCTATAAAGCTGAGGAAACTAATTACTTGGCTAAAGGCTGGCATTTCCACTAGTGCCGAGTCAAATTGACAGGGAAAGACTTTCGAGTTCTTGTCGACCATGGTTAGAGCTTGAATTTGAGGGCGTACAGCTTGTCAAAGGTGCAACGAGGCGTTCATCACGCTCTGCCCAAATGACCTGACGCCACGACGCTCTTCGTGAAAGCTCAAGCCCAAGCTGCAGACAATGGTTTCGATTAATCAGAGCGCATTCATATTCAGACGTTGCATCCACGACAATTTTCTGCTCGTGCAGTAGACCTCGCCCTTCTGTACAACCTGAAGATGCCCAGGCTCCTCCTCAAGCTTGACATTACGCGCTCCTTTGATTTTGTATCGATTTTGTATCTTGGGCATTCCTTCTTGACACTGTATCCCATCTTGGATTTGGCCGCTGCTCACGCGAATGGATCTTGATTATGTTCTCCACGGCCTAAACTCGTGTGTGAATATTCACCCTTTGTGTGAATGTTCTCACTCATTCTCACCCATTCTCTTCACCCTTTGTGTGAATGTTCTCAACTCCCTGATCACCTAGGCGGCGCGCTTGCGATGGTCTGCAACGCCTGACGACTTGTCACACTGCTTTTAGTGTCTGGCTCTACACAGACGATGTGGTGGTGTTCTGCCACCCTGACTGCAACAATCTTCTGAACATATACAATTATAGAACTCGTGACCATTCTTTTAAAAACATGAACAATTATAGCACCCGTAAACATTTTTTAGAATTCATAAATACTTTTTTCATACTCGTGAAGAATCTATAATTTTACGAGCATTCTTTAAATCCACAAAAGTTTTTAAAAATCTGTGAACATTTTGGGAATTCACAAAAAATACAATTCCTAAATGCTTTTCTTTTTTATTTGAAAAGTGTTTCAGTAGGATGTCAGTTTTTATACTGTCATGCGGGACGCACGATCAAACCAAACCTTTACACACGGGCCCACTTCAAAAAAACCATGGAGCTTTACTAGGCCTCTATTTCTAGAGAGCTTAGTAATTGTAAGGATTATTTGGTGATGTAGTACCAAAACCATAGGTTCCTAAGACCGAAATGATTATCCCCGTCCCGATAGGTCCACCTCCATCCTTGAATGCCGTTGCGTGCTCTTCACTTCCCTGCTATTGTTGTAACGGCCACGTGCAAGTGTGTCTGCAACCCCTAGAGTGGACGATAAAAAATGGATATTTATTCTCGGAGCAACCCCAGACAAAGAATGAGGTTACACAACACATATACCCTGTTGTGCCGAAAGTCTTATCCTGACCCCGAGCTAAAATGCACCCTAATGAACAGTAAAATTGAAAATATAGTAAAAAAACTGAAAATTTGTGATTTTTATAAACTTTGACAAATATTTTGTATGCTTAATAAATTTCAGCATGAAATGACATTCTTGGAAAGTCGTGAAAAAAAAAATCAGTACTCCAAAATGTTTCCAAAAGTAGCATTTTTGGAACATTGATTTTGTTTTTTTCTTTTGGCACGACTTCGACGAATGGCATTACATGCTGAAATTTTGCAAGCATACAGAATATTTGTCAAAGTTTACCGTATAATTCATTTTAATTTTGTTTACTTTTTTTGATTTTATTGTTCATCAAGGTGCATTTGTGCTCAGGTGCACATACTCCACATCCGTTGTGCCCACATTTGTAGGTGCATTTTGTGCACGTCTTATATATAGCTTGTAAAAGCGTCTTATATTATGGATAGTGCTATTTCTCTTTCCAAGTTTTTCGTACATATCTCCCTCCAAATAAAAAAAGTTATGCACACAGCACACAGATGGTGATTGCCCTCACCCAAACCTAGAAGCCTTGTCAGGAAATTTACATTTGGGACCAGCTCCCAGCCATTTTTTTCCCTGTGTGACGACAAATCTCAGTTGGCGAAATCTTTGCGCAGGAAGTGCCTGTGCAACACAAAAAATTATTTCCAAAAAGACCAGCATTTTGCACGTCTGCCAGAGACCACTTAAACTCCAAAGAAGCCAATCTACAGTCTCAAACCGGCCTTGAAATCGAGCAAAAGAAACAAAACCTTAGAAGATGGATCCATGCATCCGGCATGCGTGCCTCAGAGTATAGCGCAGTGGATATCACCAAAGCCGCACACCTTGTGGTGCGCAAGCGCATTCATCCAGAATTCACCGATGCTTTTGCATCATCATCGGCACGCCGGAATCAATCAAACTACGAGAAGAACGCATCAACTGAACCAGCAAAAAGAAGATGTACGCCAAATCAAGAATGAGTACAGCAACAAACTCACGGAGCGAGGATGACATAGTTAGAGACGAATCTGGAGCTCGGCCAGCCAAAGGAAATAAAACCATGACCTTCTCAAAGCAGAATATGAACTCGGGAAGTTCAAGCTATAACAACTTAGAAATCAACATGCAGGTTGCCAGACGGGAGAGAGAGAGTTCCCTTCATCCTGATGCGAAATGGAGGTTGGAGCTGGAGATGAGATGTGGAGAAAGGAGGCAGATGGACCTACGCGGTCACGTGGATGTGGATGGTCCATAAATACACTTGGCTTGCGGAGCGGCCACGGAAGCGACGGATGGCTAGGATTACCATAACATTGTCACTTGTGTCAGGGTAACGTTCGTTTCGTCGCTGCGGTGTGGAGGCAACGCACGCGGGGAGCTCCCATTGGAAATGGCCCTACAAGCCAACTTCATTGCGTGGCCCCAAACGGATGTCTGTTTTGTTTGGATTCTATCTGTTTGAACAGGGCAATGAGTTCGTGTCCGGGCGTGTCTTGGAATGCGGTGACCGTGCGTCCACCGCGCGGCCGCATCCGTTTGCCTCATCCTGTCCGTCAGGGCAAAAAATGCTCATATTTTCATCAAAACTAGTTTGCACGTCCAAATATTTATCTGGAAAGTAAAATAGTTTTACAACCTAATCAAAATTGTCTTTAATAAAATAGTTTTACAACCAAATTGAAATTGTCTTGACTGAACATAAAATGAACCAATACATCTATTGGTTGTCAATGTGATCCCACACGTGCTCAACCAAGTCATTTTGAAGATTCAAATGAGTGTGCCAATCACGCAGCTCACGGTAGAATTGGACAAACTGTTCAAATGTGGCCTGGTCTTGGTGCAGGGGCTCAATATTTTCACCTTGATAATCAAATCCTTGGTCGAAGATACTCTCATCACGCTCGTCCTCGATGATCATATTGTGCATGATCACACAAGCAGTCATCACCTTCCAAAGCTTCGTTTCATCTCATGACAGTGCAGGGTTTCGAACAATACCCCATCGGGATTGAAGCACACCAAAAGAACGTTCCACATCCTTTCTAGCACTCTCTTGCATTTGGGCAAATCTCTTTCTCTTCTCACCTTGGGGTTTCGAGATTGTTTTCACAAAAGTTGACCACTAAGGATATATACCATCAGCTAGATAGTATCCCTTGTTGTACTGGTGGCTGTTGATCTCAAAGTTGATAGGTGGGGAGTGGCCTTCTGCAAGCCTTGCGAAGACTGAAGAACGCTGCAGCACGTTGATATCATTGTGAGAACCTGCCATGCCAAAGAAAGAATGTCATATCCAAAGATCATGCAAAGCCACCGCTTCTAATATGACAGTGCACGCCTTGACATGCCCCTTGTACTGGCCCTGCCAAGCAAATGGACAGTTCTTCCACTCCCAG